GAACTCATGCATAACCTTATTTTTGAGGGGAGAGGTAGGAAGGCTTGATTGCAAAATTCTTGCCTTTTGTTTGAAGCACGTAAAATGGTATTAAGAGTGTGTATTGTCTTATTTCTATTCGTGCTTTCTTCAGTTTATGACTAATGATTCTTGCTACCCAGTTCCAAATGTAGAACTGCCGTCCCTCTGTTCAACGAAGTTTCGCTCAGGGCCTCCTGGTGAAGAGGCTCAAGCAGCGAGCCAGTTCATCGCAGATGTGATTGAAAAGTAAGAACCATCCTGGTGCATTTAAAACAGGAACAACTCTGCAAGACAATTTTCTATTTCCTGGTTTACCCTCTCATTTTATTTTAGTTCACAGATAGTAGCGAAAGAAGATCTCTGTATTGCAAGCGGCAAGGTAAGTCGTGTTGCCGAATGGAGATACTAACAAGGCCGCAGTGTTAAGATGTTAAAGAGGGTATTTGGGGCTCTAGGTGGTGGTTTCTGCTTTTTAGTCTTCATAGCTTGGGTTACATCTGAAGTGTAAAAATCATATATAGAAATAAATATCTTTATTCACATGCCCAGCATTTTCTTATATATTGCACCATTTGCTTAGCTGCTGCAATCTCTCACATGTGCGAACCTTTTTTGGTAGCTTGCTTGGGTGTTGTACTGTGATATCATCTGCCTGGACTATGATGGAAACATTTTGGATGCCAGTGCCTTTGCTTTGTTAGCAGCATTAAAAAGTGGTGAGTCTTTGAGAAATACGTTGGTTTTGAATCTTGACTAGGTAACTGGTTCAGAGTTCCTTAAGACTGCTTGTTTCCTGTCATTGAATGCTGAATTACTGAAACGGGAATACAGAGTGGAGACGATGGTATGGATGCCGTGGATGTGTACCAGCTGGGGAGCAGGATCTGTCTGTGTGCGTCTCGTTGCTCTCTTCTGAGGCAAACAGCTGTTATGCCCTGTGTGCTGTGTCGGGTCTGAATCTCTCAGCGGTGGCCATAAACAACTTCCCTGTCTGGGTCAGGGTCTGGCCTTGTTGCTGTATCTTCCATAGGCAGAGTAAGTTGTTGGGCGCTTTGCTTACGCAAACGCTCTGTCACAGCAGAATATGCCTGCCTTAATGCGTGGCAGTTTGAAAAACTGTTCCCATGCACGCGGCACATGGACTGGTGCTTCAGAGGTGTGTGGGTTATAAGCACAGGCAGGAGGCCGTGCAAAGGGAAGCTTACAGCAAGGCCTTGCCGAGCTGTGGATTGCTTGCCTTTGAACTCCTGCAGCTGCTTTCCTCTTGACTTCCCTGTCTCCATCACTGTACGGGTTGTCAGAGCAAGAGTTATCTGAAGATCAGATTGTATGGTTTCTATGGATATATAAAATCTGTGAGATGAGACTATTCCTGTTTTTTACACGTCCAGTAGGCTTTTTTAGGGAAAAATACTTTTTGTTAAATATGGCTCTAAATTGCATGGCATTTTGGAAGCAGAAAATGCTTCTGTGTAAGGAAGAATGTTACCTTGAGGGGAAAAATGAAATGCGTCCTTGAATGGGTAGTTCTAAGCTAAATGCTTTCCTTGAATTCAGGAATTTGTTTGTACAGAACACCTGTAATTTAGCCAAAACTCTATTCTGATCAATTTTCAGTGGCTTAAAAGAACAGCTTAAGTATTTCAGTAGTCTTGGGTGTCTCTAGGCCTACTACATCCAGCAGTGTTTATTATACCATTGTCATTTTTTCATCTTTTCAGTACAATTGCCATCAGTTACTGTGAACGAAGAAACTGGTTCATCGGAAGTTAATTTAAAACAGAAGAATCCTTTGATTATCAGAAAGCATCCGGTTGCCACATCATTTGCTATATTTGATGAGTAAGTTCATAACTTTTGTACTTCGAAAACAACCGTGTATGTAAAAGAAGTGAAAGGCAGAGGGTGCTACCAGTGATGTTTCTGCACTTGTGCTAGTGACGAGCACGCAGCCCCAGCCAACCAGCGCCATTTCAGGTGATCTCAAATCGCTTGGTGAACTGTCTTGCAGTTCTGTGGGATGCAGGAGTATGCAGAACAAAACCAAGTCTGTCCAACTTCTTCCTCTGGCTTAAAGCAGAACTGGTTCTCAGCCTAAAAGATACGCTTGAAAGTACGGGAATAGGGATTGATTTATATTTTTGCAGTGTCTTTGAGACAAAAGAACATCACCAATGCACTTTGTGTTTTAGAAGCCCATGTAAATAACTGAACAGCTTATACCAAGGATTTAGTCAACAGCGAAAGTAAGAAGTAAAGGTCCAGTTAGACGAGCATAACCTCTGGGTAACTGAAAACAGAATTACCCAAGATATGACCATTGTTCATGTAGGTAAAGAATCAGATTATGAGAATTCAAAATAATCACATCTGATAACATCACTCCTCACCTGAAATTGTTTACTGGCTCTTCCTTAGTCCAAGTGTGTTAAGTATGTGTTCTGCTGCCGTTTATAGGAAATGCAGTTATTTATGGTGGAATCTATTTGAAAAGTAGACAATGCTCACCGTGCTATGAATTGGATTTAAGGTTCAGGTGTATTTAGAGACATCAGGGTTTACAGCACATTAACCTGCGTTGGCAGAAATGATTGACAGGCCCTTTCATTCAAATGGGGAAGGGGTGGGGGGAAGCATTAAACTCAACCCCTGACCAAGTGATAACCAAACTGAATCAGACCAGAAAGTCAGCAGACTGCTTCTGTTAATTGCTCTAACACCAGTTCTTGTGGGTCTGAAGTTTGGCATAGACTGGAAGCAAGACCGTTCAGATAGCCTGACAGGCGGACAGTTGTCGGTAGGATATTATTTGCACACAAATCACACGTACTTGCCAACAGACAAAAAAGCTGCCTTTGGAAGAAAGCTTTCAGTGACAGTCTGCTGGGCTTTGTTCCCTTTGCTGAAACCGACTGTTGCATCAAACAAGTTAGTTAAGCCTCCCTTTACCTCCTAAAACCAAACACTGAGGGGGCGTGGGCCTGTGTCGTGTGGTTTGGGTTTGGTTTATTTCTTTTAATTAGTTTTTCTACAGCTCTTGACACAGCCCTCTAAGTAATACGGTTTGCATACTCTGGCTTCCAGAGACGTTCTTCTTCAGCGTAAAAGCCCTCCTTGAACAAATAAACACTTCTGGGTTGCTGGCTGGTGTGGCGGTGGGCGAGGTGTGCAGCCCCGCGGGTGGCTCCAGCGGGCTTAGCCTGTAGGGGAACACGATGGCTGATGGGCTGAGCTCCCCGTGAGTGCCAAGCCCCGGCGCCATGGGAAGGGCCGATGCTGTCCCTGGGTAGAATGACTAGAGCGGTAGTTTTGTGCAGCAGAGCTGTGGAGTGGCGTTTGCGTTACCCCATTGCTGTTGAGTGGCAATCAGAAACCATTAGTGAAGGTTTAAATTACCCAGCAGACCTTTTTTGATTACGCATAGCGTATGAGTTCAGACTGAAAAGTTCCGTTACCCTTCCGTCGGTTTTGTGTGATCAGCTCCTACAGCCTCGCTGCTGACTCCCTCCCCTCCCCCTGCAACTTGTCATAAATGTCACTCAGCATACATGTACCCAGCTGCTAAAGGGAGTTTGATGACATCGATACTGAATTTTGGTTTACCCGTGTAAACGGAGGCTTCACAGAAACTTCAGCTAAAGCTTTTCCTGTCATGACACCTGCACTTCAGCCAAGTGTTTGTAGCGGTAGTCATTTTTTTATTCTTATTTTTTAAAGAAACAACAGTGGTTGTTCCGCTTTTTTTTTTAAGTTCAAGTTTTTCTTGTGCCAAGTTGGCTTTAGATCCTCTTCTTTTTTTTTTCCGTTGGTTGGTTCTATTTTTAACTTATTAAATGGTTCAAAAATAGCAATCTCTTTTAGTGATGTGGATCATGGAATGTTTGACAGCTTATTTTGGCTGCCTTAAAGAACCCAGTAAATCCATTTTTGAACTCTTCCCAGGCCAAGTGGTGTAAGAATTCCCCGACAAGAAACTGAGAACTACTCTGGTGTATTTACCACCGGAAATGAGTTTTGCCTTAAGGTCTGGTAGTGATAGTGCAGCCTCCACCTAAAACCGATGCCATTGTCTTGCGTAACTACAAAATAAGCAACTGCTGTAAGTGTCAGTTTAACGGCACGTTCCTGCAGAACCTGGGCGTCACAAATCTGTGAAACTTGGGCGTAAGGCTGATGAGCCTGGGCACTAAATCCACCTGCAGGTGTTTTGTAAGACTACAGTAAAAGTTAATGTTACGTGTATTTTGCAGTGATGTTAACAGAGCAACACGCACTAACACGTCTGTGTATGTTGTTCTTTCGCAAGCGCGTTGCTTATTGTTGATCCAACCGCTGAAGAAGAAGACTTGGCGACTGGAACAGTAACCATTGTAACTGATGATGAAGGCAGACTCTGTTCTGTCCATAAACCAGGTACTGGCAAGTGTATTCCGCAGGAACCTATGGGGATGATAATCTCTTCTTGTCCTAGACATTATGTACCTGCTGCTCTTTGTAAAACGTGGGTGCTCTACGGTAACGGACTGACAGCTTGAGTACTTACTAAATGACTTGCTTTTGAAACACACTGCCAAAAAGGCGGCATGACTGAAGTTCAAAAAGTCATCACAGCTTGACCCTAAATACAGCAAAGGGCAGATTTAATGTCTCCTGTTATACCTCTGCTTTGTTTCTCTTCTCTTTGCCCGTCGCTAGAGTTGGGGAGGCTGTTCGTCATGAGAATTACTGTATGACTTAATACTCATTTGGAAAATGCACAGATGTGTAACTGAAGTATAAACAGGAAATCAAATTGTTCCCTCTAATTTTTAGGTGGAAGTCCTCTTACAGGAGCCAAGCTTCAGGACTGTATCACCAGAGCAATTACAAGGCACAAAGAAGTAAAGAAGCTGATAGACAAAGTAATAAAAAGTATAAAGCCCAAGTGAACAAAAGGAGAGATCTTTTCAGAAATGGATTTGTAAAAATTGTATTTGTTACAGTGTTCACAAACCTTTTATACTAAATAAACAAATACCAATACTACATTTACAAAGTTCATTTCTTCTAAAACGTTTTTCACCCTTATACTATGTACAAAGCTGCTGAGTGGTAAAAAATACAAGATAAAACGTTCTGTTAAAAAATTAAGTGACTTAAGGAAACCAGACCTCAGCTGCTTTATAGATGAAATCTCTTAAATTCTGTAGGGCTGGCTTCCAAAACCAAGTTCCTTTATTTCAGTGTAACGTCAAAAGTTCATTTTCCCACCAGTAATATAAAACACCGATTTGATTTTAAGCTTTCTCCCTTTTACTCTGGGAAAAAAAAAAAATCCCCTCTGAATCTGTTTTTATTTGGGAGGGGGGAAGGCCCATCTCAGGATTGTGGAGGGGCTGATGTGCCTCTTTTCCTTTTACTTTTTGAGTGGCTGCCTGAATGCTGTTGATGACGCAGGTGAGCTGCTTGTGCTGCCGCCGCCGCCGCCATAGCCATTTGATGCTGCAAGAATCGCAACTGCTGCCGTGAAGGAGAAGGGGGAGAAAAAGCTTGTTAGCGTGACTCTAAAGCTGTGCTTCACGTCAGGGAGAATGAGAGGAAGGTGGTGGTGGTGGGGAAATGAAAAGAAATGATGAAGCACCAGGTTGACAAAAGGAAAGACCATGTACTGGGGCGATGAGTACAGTCAAGCAGCACCAGTGGCACAGAAGCCTGCTGAGGGCGCAGCTAACATTTTACACGTGTCCTTGGACAGCTTTGTGTCTTTGCCCTTTTTCTCCATTGCAGTAACTGCAGTAACTCAGCAACTTCAGTGAATGTTTGGGTTACATGGTACATTTTTAACGCAATTCCTTCTCGGTGTATGCGCTGTATGTATTTTCTGTATATATCACAAAGAGGAGACTGTGTGCTAAAAAAATATTAAAATATTTTCATAAAGCATCTGAATGACAGAATGCTGAAGGAATGCTTTGCCAGAGCTGTTGCTTCCACGTACTGACTGTAGCAGTGCTCCACTTGAACCTACAGGCGCTTACATTCATGCTGGTTTGAAATCTGTTGGCACCTGGCAGAGCTGATTTAGGTACGTGCCACAAGCACTCCTTGAATGTTAGCAAATCAGGAGGGTGGATGGCTTTGGGGAATAAAAATAAATTCAGTGCTCCAAGCTGAGAGAACCCCAGACTTTAAAACTTTCATGATATAGTTTGCCAAATTCATTGTTTTTTTTTTTCATTTGTGAGACCACAAAAAAACAGTTTAAAAAAACCCCACAAGTCAAAGGGGCAAGATTTTTAGTTTTGGAGCTGAGAATTGTATTTTTAAATTCTTTTTTTTTTTAAACAATCAGAGTGAAGTTGCTGGATTACTTGTATCTGTTGCTGCTGCTGCTGCAAGGCTTGTTGCTGTTGCTGTTGTAAGGCAGAAGAGAGCTGGAGTCTCTGCTGAGGAAGGCTTTGCCCAGGTCTGTTCACGGCAGAGCCAAGCTGAGACAACACTAAGAAAGGAGAAGGGGAAAGCAGGCAGGTCAAAGAGGTCAGGTCACGTTTGTGAGGGTCAGGGAAGGAAGACATAGGAATAGAGTGTAACAGAAAAGGGGATCAATAGAGTTAGTTTCAGAGCCAAACTGGGAACAGTGCAGAATAAAGTATACGTGATTGATATACATACTCTGTTAGTTAGAACAGAATTGGATCACGAAGTACTTGTGGAGACACAAAGAGGTTTCTCGTACTGGATGTTAAGCACACAGTTAAAGAAACATTCCTCAATGAAGTCTGGCATGGAAGTTCCCTGTATTTTCTTTTTGTATCGTGTGACTTGTTTTCGTGTGATATTATCAATTTACTACACTTAACTGCCAAACAAAGCAGAAAAGTGCATGCTTAGAAAGTCCAGTATTTCTTGTATAATACATGTGCTGATAATAAACATTAAATTGTTCTGATCTAACGTAAGACTTCTTTAAGACCAAACTTCATTTCAGTGTGAATTTATCAACATACACAAGTAACTACGACAGGAGGCTCAGCAAGCACATACCTGTGGCTTGAGGTTGCATAAAATTCCCTACTCCAGTCAGGTTAATTACAGCAGCTTGTTGGGCAGATAATGCCTGATCTTGATTGGAAGGACCTTGGTCAGACCCCTAGCAAAAATGAAAAGCTTGATCCTTATTACCAAACCTCGGTATCGACGAATAAGCAAATAAAGCCAGTGCGAAGGCAAACGTTTGAAGTGCCATTTAAAAACATTTCATTCTACATCTTCCAGTGTGTGTAGATATGGGCTATAATGTAGTCACTATTCAAGCAGAACGAACATATGTTGAATGCCCCAAAACAGCTCTGTTCTGGCAGAAAGGGTGTTACGCCTGTTACCCAGCAGCAGTCCCATGTAGTTGTCAACTTCCCTGCTGTCAGCAGAGACTCCAGTTTATGGCTGTAATCTTACAACAATTTCCTGTCCCACTCCCAACCCCAAAGTCTTCAGGTGACACCTGAAGCCATCCACGTGCAAAGGTCCTAATCAAGCAAAATGTGAAAAGTCTGAAACTTCCACTCACATGTTCATATTGTGCCACACACTCCTTCATTTCATCCAAAATATAAACCCTGCTTTGAAAATTTTATTTTCAGAACAGAGTAGTTCTCACAGTAATTGCTCAAATGGAATTAGTGGTCTGACCTAGTGTCTACTGACGTCAAAGGGTACTGAATTGTGACCTCTTCTAGAACTTAAAGTATGCATTGATTCATAAGGTGGGGAAATAAAGTATTTCTTGTGTGATTTAAGAAAATCACATGGCTTATCAGTCAGGAAAAAAACCTCAAACCAAAACACTTTTGAGCAGGTGCATTTCCAGGAGTTGCAATGCTTCTTTAGAATAACCATATGAAATAATGCCACTGAGGTCTAGGTAAACTTGACCAAAAGACTGCCCATTAAGAAGATGTCATCATCTTGATCAAGATGACTAAGAAAGGTTAACAAAGTCACAGAAACAACATTTGGGGAAAAAACCTAAGTATGGGACAAGACTGCTTGGCAGCACAGAAAACTGTTGGATTTTTTGGGCTTGTTTTTTTTCCCCGTTAAGCACTTGGTTTATGGCACTTTGAACACACACACACACATTCTTGGCTTTAGTGAAAGCTAAGAAATCCAGCATCCATAATAGCTCACTTCAGCTCATGGCCCTACTCTTACTCTCTAATGCGAGGTAGGAGAGAAGTTCCTTAGGGCAAGTTAGGCAATGCAGAGATTGGTTTCCTCCGGAAGAACTTTCTGCCACAAGAAGGACTAGGCTTACATCAGCCTTTTTGTAAATGCCCTTGAAGTTCACTGTCTAGAAAATAAACCCAATAGTATGAGCTTGCATGGGGGTTTTTTGGTAGTAATTCAGCTAGTAACTGACATTTGGATTCCGAGAACAAATCTGAAAGTTTCCCATTAAACCGTCCCACATTCCAGAACAAGGCCTGTGACACAGGAGGCTGTACACCATAAAAACATTTGAAAGAGGCATCTTATTTAGGATAACAGTCTGCAGAAGCACAAGCAAAATTACTATGACAAACCAAGTATCCAGTAGAGACTATTTGGTAAACAGAAGTCTTGCATCTCTGGGAAGACCAAAGGTAAAGAACGCAGAAGCAGAGCAGTTAGTTTTCCCAATTGCTGCATTAGTGCTGGTAAAGATTTTTTGGCACAGGTAGAACCAATCACTCAAAACTGGTCATTCTGAGGAACAGACAGATTGGTCTCTACTGAGACTTCAGATTTCTTCAGTGATTAGAGCCTTTAACACTAATCACAGGCAGCAGTAGAGCAAGTGGCTCAGGATTACAGCTTTAAAGCCAACTGATACTCTCTCTGGTGCCAAGCGAACGATGCTGTTGAACTGCAGCAGTGAGGATGGTAAGCCAACTCACAGCAGGTGGAAGGAAGAGGTTCTAGTTACTCTGTAGAAATCCTGACTGTGTTTTTTCTCTGTTCATCTGATGTGCCTGCTACTTATGACAGACACCACTCCTACGGCACCTTACACCACTCCTACAGTGGGCTGGCTCCCTTCACGCTGGAGTTAGACAATGCTTAGCCTGTTGCTTCGTTACAGCGCTTCTACACAGGATATAAACTAAGGAGCACAACCCAGATCCAGCCATGGCAACAAAGCCACTGCAGTCTTTGCAGTTTGAGGTGGCTTTGGAGGAAGACTTTCCTCTCCCTCTGCTTCAGATCTGTTGGGTAAAGGCTCATTTACTTGTGGGGATGAGGAGAACAGGAGGAACTGTTTCATCCGTGCACTCCAGACTGAGGGCTGTTAGCACACCCCTGTTCTCCCTGTGGCTGAGGACCACAGCTTGTAGGCTGCAGAGGTTGCCGCTGTGGAGAAAACTGTGACAGCTGCTGCTGCTGGAGTGGGTTAAAAATAAGTGACCCACCTGGAAGGTGTTGAAGATTAAAACCAAAAGGCATAATTCAATCAAGCTGCTGAGCCTCCCCACTGTGGTAGGATGAACAGGACACTGACAATGATGTACTCCTTGGAGGTTTGGTTTTGTTTTTTTTTTTAAAGGAATCAGTTTTCAATTGCTGCTGTTTGTGAGAAAGCCTTATGCTTAGAAAACGGACTTGCCTTAAATTATAGCAAGATATTTACACAGGAAAATACGTTATTATTATTCTAATTAAAATAGTAGAGATTGCACCGACACTGGAAATGTAAGGGCTAGTCTTCAAAAGCACTGCATAGTATTTTCACTTTCAGAATATTCCACTGAATTTTAATAGATGCTTCCAATGAACAAGCTGTAAGGTCTGATGCAGAAAAATGTTAAAGTGAAACAGTCTTGATTCCTCTCCCTTACCCCAGCTTTAACTGCACTGATTTCAGCCAAGGTGTTCTTGCCTTACGTGAGTGGCAGAGGTTGCTTGGAAGGATGTACTTCAATGTGGAATCACTGAAATACAAGTGCCTAATTTTATAGAACAGCTCTTCTCTGGCATAACTGCCTCCTCTGCCTGCCCTTTTCCATGTTTCTGGAGCGTGTACAGGAGTGGGAGGAGGAAGCAGCAAAGCTACAACCCATCTGTTACCGGTATGGATTTTCCGAAGCATGGTGCAGCAGCTGTGGAACACTGAAGCTGCAATTCAGCACCTGTAACTTGTAGCTGACTTCCACCCAGTTCCACTAACACTCCCTGTTCTGTAATAAGCATAATTTGCTTGTGTTTGTATTTGTAGGTAAGCCTAGTGGAAAGAAAACATCTACAGACCTTCTAAACACCTTCTCTTACCTGAACTTCTATTTCCATTACCAGAAGCTCGCTACAGCTATTACTGCACCTACCTGTGCATGCTGAGCTCGGCTTTTAGGCACTGTCTGTGTAACCCCTGAATGACTCTCTGTACTGTTTTGTACTTTTAAAATAATTGTAACTTCAGTTTAAAGAACGATTTGCAATAAAAGCTTAGGCAAATCCTGAAAATAGAAGACGGTATTTTAGGATTAATTTCTTGAATTCAAATGTCAGCAATTTTAGATTGTTACTGAGAACTAGCTGCTTTGTTGTGAGCTGGAAATATCATTTCCACCTGGTATCTTTATGGAAGTAGCCTTTTCTCTTACTCTAAGCATTTTAAATAAGCAATTAAATTTTGCAGTAAATGGTTTGTCTGAGCAACTGGTTTCAAAGATCTGTGGGGGGCAATGCGGTAAGCAGCACTAAACACATCTTTAAAGAAATATAAGAAATAATCATTATTATTGTGTCCAAGTATATCAATTACCTGTAGAAGATTTAAGGGTCGAAGATTTGATGCATTTTTCAAACCATATGGGCTGCCTGTTAAAGAAAACATCTTTTTATTAGTAGGAAGTCTTTACTTAATTATATATGTGTATTGCAAATTCATACACCTTTCCACTGGGATTATTTCTAAGCATTTGGAAACTGGAAAACTGTCAAGTATAAATTTTATACTGGAATCAATGCTGCCTCTTCTGTAATGTTGGTAAGTTCACAGTTATCCAGATTCAAAGTTAAAGACAGCTGACTGAACAGAAAGAAATCTGTATCACTACTAAACATTGTACCCTGTACCCTACAACCTGTTAAAGCATTTACACAAAGGTGAATGTGCAGAATATCATAGCAGTTATTCTTCAGTGAGTCTTCTGTGTTTAAAAAGTTTTACTGTTGGTACAGTAAATCCAGAAATGTCCAAGGGCTCAAAGAAGTAACATGCTCTCAGTTTTTCAATCATTAACAGACAACAACCCCACCCAAAATCTTAGCAACTGCCCACCCCCGAAGTACTTCTCACAAGATGCATCTAACTTCTAGAGCTTTTGGCATTATTCCACATGGCACTCTTCAAAGCTATGCTAAAAAGACGTACATGCAGTAAGCTATGAGGTGGGTATAGAACTGATACAAACGCTCCAGTAAAACAGCGGCTGTCAAACAGAACCCCAGAGGTCTTCCACGGCCCTAGCTCAGCTCACTACTCCCATCTGTGATGTGGGCGACAGCGTAGCATGTAAAAATCTGCGACACCAAACTGGTAAAGGTTGATAGTGCTTGAAAGGACAGAATTAGAATTAAAAGCGATCCTAGTGAATTGAAGAAGGGTTCAAAATTCAGTAACATTGAATCAAAAAAAGACAAATGCACAAGTACGAAATTGTGAGTAACTAGCTTTGTGCCTATACAGCAAGAAAGGACATGAGAAATTACAGTAAGTCACAAACACGTCCGAATCATCCATATCACAAACTACAGAACACACAAACGAACCTCTTCACACAGTTTACATTTATAAAACTCACTGTCACAAGATGCCGCAGATTCCAAAAATACAAATGGGTTCAAAAACCAGTTCCATGACTCCACAGACTAGAAGTCTGGCACGGGATATTAAGCACAAAGATCCATGTGGATACTCCCCAGCTGAGAAAGTCTCAAAGCTGTAGATTGCCAGAAGAGGTACAGTTGTGTACAAGGGATGTTTCACTTCACAATTTTGCCTCATCTTAAACTCTCTCCTAAGTAGCCTCTAATGGCAACTATCAGAGACAGCATATAAACTGGATGGATTCGTGGCCTAAACCAGTAGAGCCATTCTTATGTTAATGTAATGCTGTTGCAAAAAAACACAGACAAAAACCAGGCA